ATACGTCCAATTTTGAGGATGGCACGCGGCACAAGTCTCGCAGGGATCTGGTGGGTAAAAAGTCCCTCACTGCGAACATGAAATCGCATGATTTTAGTGGCAAGGATCTGCCGTTCTTGGGCTACAGCTTTGTGCATATGGACAAGCCGCCGAATAGCGATTCTGGCGACGAGGCGCGTGCCAACAAATTGCAGGAGAAACTGAAGGACCTGCAGCAGAGGCTCAAGTCGCGTGAGACTGAGATCTCCATGCTGAAGCAGGATCTCTTGCGGGCACAGCAGTCGCTCAAGAAAACGGACAACAAGTCGCAGGTGGTGCTGGATGCTAAAATGGAAATAAAAAAGCTTCAGCAAATAATCAAGGACAAGACTATGGAGTTGGCCAATTGCAAGACACAAATCAAGACACTCCAGAGTTCGGCCAAAGTGGATGAGGAAATGTGGTCCAAAAAGGAGTCTACCATCACGGATCTGTTGCGGCTGAATCGGCAAAAGTACGAAGAGGCAAAGATATCCTCCGAGCAGCGCTACGAAAAGCAATTGGCCGAGAAAAAGCAAGAGCTGGCCTCCACGCTGCAGAAAATGGATGCCCGTGAGCTGGAGTTCATTGCCAAGAGCGACGAATGCAAGCATCTGGCAGCCAAGCTGCAAAACTATAAGGATATGTTGAAGCAGCTGAAGGAGCAGACCATCAAAGCGGATGCCGGGCACGAGCAGCAAAAGAGCCAGATGGCCGAGTCCTACGAGCAGAAGTTGTCGGATCTGCGCAAGAAGATACGAGAGTCGCAGGACTCGCATCGCCGTTTGACATTGGAGATGCAGGGCATTCGCACGGAACTGGACGAATCGATTAGCTCTGGCAAATCCACCCAAGAGGCCAAGCACGCCACAGAGCGCAACATCGAGGACATATTGAGGCGTCTCAACAACGAGATAGCCTCAAATAATGAGCTGCATGCGGAGAAGGCCAAACTCGAGTCGAAGCTGAGGCTGAAGGAGAATGAATCTCAGGACGCGAGAGCGGAATGCCAGCGCTTGGAACGCGAGCTGCAGCTGGCCGAATGCCGCTGTCACATGGCTGAATCCTCGCTGGCCTCTAACGCTTCCCCTTATAACACAGCACCTGGGTCGCTGACCGAACTGAATGCCATCGAGGACCAGCTGCGGGCCGACTTGGTGGCGGCCAAAGAGGGCGAAAGCCAGCAGAAGGTCCGAGCCGATCAACTGCAAACTCTGGTCACTAAATTGGAGCAGATGCTGGAGCGCTTCAACGAGCAGAACCAGAGTCTTTCCCCCACAAAATCGCAGGGAAATGGCTCCTCAGTAGGCGACATGCTGGAACGCCAGAATGAAAAACTTGAAGACAAGCTGGCGGCCGTGCGAGAGCAGATGATTGTTGAGCGTCAGGCAGCGAGGGCGGCTAATCTCTCACTGTGGAAGGTGGAAAAGCAGCTGGAGGAAGCCCTGTCTGAGAAGAAACTATTGGCGCGTCGCATGGAGCTGACCGAGGATCGCATCAAGAAGACCCAAAATGGCCAAGAGGAATCGCAACGCATGCTCAAATCCTCCCAGGAAGAGACGCGCCAGCGAGAGTCACGCATCGAGGAGCTGAAGCAGGAACTGGCTACGGCCAAGCGAGATGTTATGAAGGAGCACCGTCTGTGGGAGAAGGCCGAGCAGGAGCGCATGAAGTGCAAGTCGGAAATAATCGAGCACTTGGCCAACGTACACAAGCTCGAGCAGCAGGAGACTGGCCTGCGCCAGAAGCTGCAGCAGATGCAACTGCGTTTCGACGGCCTGGTCCTGGAGCACAAGAGCATGCAGCGTCAGCTGCAAGAGGAGCGTGACAACAGCACTGCGGCCAGTGACTCGAGCCACAACCTGCAGCGAGAGCTTAAGGCAATGACGGAGAACTTCCAGAGGCTGAAGTATGCCTGCAGCGTGACGGATAACCAGTTGACCGAGGTGGAGACCATGCTGAAGACCGAGCAGGATCGCAACAAGGCGCAGCAGACCCAACTGGACGCCTGCCATGTGAAGCTGCGCGAGCGAAACGACCAGCTGACGAAGCTGCGCCAACAGCTGTCCGGCATAGAGGCCGGCAAGCGGCTGGCCGAGCAGCGTGCTCAAGTGCTCACCTCGGAGTTGGAGGAACTGAAGCAGAATCTAACGGAGCAGCACAAGAAGATGATTGCCCAACAGAGCCAACTGGTTGAGCAGACAAACGTTCTATTTGCCACACAAGATCGGGTGGATATTTTGGATGGCCAGAACTCGAATTATCTGGCACAGAGCGCCGACTGCGAACGGGAATTGCTCAACTTGAAGGAGGAAAATGCACGCATCCTCAGCGAGCTCTTCCACAAGAAGGAGGAGGTGCGCAGCCTACAGGCCGAGATAGCCGCGCTGCAGTCCGCTCAAGCGGAGCTGCATACGGAGATCGATGAGCTGCAGGACACGATGGCCGAAAAGGAACAGTTTTATGTGCAGCGTGACATCAAGGCACTGGCAACGCTGGCGCAGCACAAGAAGTTGATCGATTACTTGCAGGTGGGTGTCCCTTGAAGGATTAGATCTCCTTGGAAACTCAACCTCCTCAATCTCTAAATTGCAGCTCAAAGTAGAAGATCTGTCGGCGAAAAAGAAGAAAACCCTGGCGGACAAGCTGTTTGGTACGAGCCATGGCAACAAGGAGAACATCTCCTCCAATGATGTGGAATCGTCCATTCTCTATCGAGCCCTGCGCGAAGAACTACGCCGCGAACAAAAGAACTCGGCCATGCTGAAGGAGCAACTAGCGCAGCTCAATGGTAGGTCCCATCGCCTGTCTCAAGTATTTATTGTTACAATTATATGTCTTATGGTGTTTCAGGAACTGCCACCCTTCGCTCCCCACGCAAATCGTTGGGAGATCAGGCCAAGCAGAGACCTGTCAGCATTGCCGTCACTCCACGCTCCCCCCGCAAGCAGGTGTCGTCTTTGAAACGCACCAAAAGCCAGATAGAGATTACCACCACAGCAGAGAAGGATTCGAAGAAACAGACTGTGGGACAGCAGCCGCAGGAGCAGCAGGAGCAGTCCCATCACCGCTTCGAGCTGGCACTGCAGGAATCAAAGACAAGTTCTCCGGACTGTGTGGTGTGCAAGCTGAGCATCATCGCCGGCTCGCCTTATTGGCGCTGCAAGGAGTGCAAGGATGCTGCACATCGCAAGTGCCGCACAAACGTACAAGGCGATTGCGGTGCGGCCAAACCAAGTGCGCCGCCAGCGGCTGATGCAATCAGTGTGGCTGCATCTGTGACGAGCAGCGGTCTCGAGAGCGTGGATAGCTGCAGCTCAAACAACGTGGCCAGCGGGGAATACATTGGAACGTTGGTGTACAGCTCGGATGCCCAAGTGGATCAAGAGCACGGGAAGGATCTCGAAGTAAACTGCGCATTCGAGGTGGCGGAGCAGCAATTGCTGCTGCTGGGCTGCAGCACTGGTCTGTATGCCTACCATGTGGACACGCAGCGACTGCTCCACATTGCGGGCATCGAGTCCGTGAGCTGCATGTCCATCTGCACACGCCTGGCCAAGGCCATCATGGTGGGAACCGTCGCGGAGAAGCTGTATCAGTGCGACTATCGGCAGCTGGAGTCGCGCTGCCAGAGCTCCAGTGCGTGCCACAGGCCCGTGCTCGAGACCTCGGCCATTGAGCTGCCGTCTGCCAACCGAACGGCCGATGAGAAGTGGAAGCTGGTCCTGATTTCCAACGAGGCGGAGAATGCCCTGGACTCTGTGGCCATAGCAGCCACCACCACTCGCATTGTCATCTTGAAGTACGACCACAAGTTGCATAAATTCAATCCCGTTCGTGCTCTCGACACTGCCACGCCGGTCACCTCGATCTTCTTTACGCGCCACTCCGCCATCGTTACCTCGGACATGTTCTACGAGATCGATCTCGACAATTATGCGGCCGAGGAGTTTGTCGACCTGGCGGATAAGTCAATGCAGAACACCGCCAAATGCCAGCCCCTCATGGCTGTGCGCATTTCACGGCAGGAATACCTGCTGTGCTTCGCCGAGTGCGGTGTGTTCGTGGATGAGTTTGGCTGTCGCTCGCGTCCCTACGACTTGAGCTGGGTCTATGCGCCCACGGGATTTGTGTACCGCGAACCCTTTCTCTTCATATCCCACTACCAGTGCGTGCAGATTATGCGTCTCCATCGATCCTTCAGCAGGGAACTTGCCGACACCGACGTGAACTCTGAGAGCTCCGATTCCCCGGACTTGCAACGCGTCTACTTGCCTCACTACATGTCTACGCTGCTGGCAAACAGTGGCGACGTCAACCTTTACGCTCTGGCTCTCGACCAGAAGCCCTGTGCTACTGGATCCCAAAGAATCTACCACTTGGATACTCTGCAGGCGTTCAAACACAAGCTGAACGTGTCAATGGAGACGATTTCGTCCGTGGCCACATCCGTAACTCTGGGATCGGCAATGACAATGGATAGTATATGAGAATATGCATACAGATTGGTTCAATTACTTATCTGGCAAGTGCAGGGAAGATGGCCTCACACACAGAAATATATCTACATATATACTTTTAATTTTAAGTAAAAATTGTAATCGATCCACGCCTGTCGATGACTTTTATGGAAACGTTGCAGCAAGGAACGCTTTTCCTTCATTTAATTTTAAATATTTTTAACAACTTTGTGCGAATTAATACACAAATAAAAGCATTTTCGAATAATAGATGGTGATTTCTTCCCGAGATTTGTTCTTGGACAAAACGATGCCACAATTGTTGGACTTATTAAAAAATTCAAAATGGGCACCCAACGCTGGTTTAAATAACAGTTAGTGCGGGAAACTTTCGCCACTGAGATTGAAAAAGCTTACCAGCCAGCTTTTTCTGGCGGCGCTTTCAATGAATGTCCCGCATAGTAAAAGTGGTGGTGCTGTCGCTGTCGCTGTCTCAGTCTCCGTGTCTCTGTCGCTATGTTGTTTGTGTGGGTCTCCGTCCGCTCTCTGGATACGAAACTGCAGCATTACTGTAAATTGTGATAATTGATTTCAATTTATTCTATGCCGTCGGCACCGTGTGTGCGCCGTAGTCGACGACGATGTTTGAATCAAAAGCAAAACATCGCGCGCGTCGTGCAGTTGCGGACTCCACTACAGTCGCAGGAACTGAAAAGGAAGCGAGCAAGATGCTGCTATGCCGGGCCTGCCTGGTGCTACTTCGTACCGAGGATGTGTCCTACGACCTATGCAGCGAGAAAGGCTTGGCGACCAAATACTTTGCCTGCACCGGTGGCGACCCGGACATGCACATTCAGACGAAGGAAGAGGAACAACTGGTAACGCAGCAGCTGGTGCTGAAAAGCATCTGCGAATGTTGCTACCAGTTGGTGCAGAAATTCCATGACTTTCAACGCATGTGCGAAGAGTCCTCCAGGAACTTTGAGAAGCTGCTGGCGGTGGTAAACTCTCAGGATACCGTCCATAACTCCATCCAGGAGCAAGATGTAACCAACACAACTAGCTCCATTCTGCCAGAATATGATACTCTTTCGGAAGGCATACAATGCGATGGGGAGGAAGCGACACCCGCAGAATCAATCGAAGATATTGTGAGTTTTCATGCACACTATACATACATACATATAAAGTATACATATGTGCTCGATATAAAAGGTTTGTGTGCTCCAATCTAATCACAATCATTGCTTAGTTTGGTTGCCTAGCGCCGAAAGCAGGCGTGTGTCGGGGACTCTATTTTTGATTATAGTTGAGAAGCGAATCAGTTAAGAGATAACTTACTATCAAAAGGGGGCTAGTTTTATAATAAATAGTATGATATCAGTGCCGTTAATTCAATCTGGCTTCACACAACAGGTACGGTGTGACCCCCGGAGACTATTTAATCTGAATTCAGTAGGACTTCCGGCAGAAACAGCAAGTGCAATCACAGCCAGCTTTAGACCATGTTATATTCTGGATATTCAGGCACTCCTACTTGTAGGATAATTGAATAGATAATTGCTTATTGCTTATCCTTATGCTTTACATAAGGAAATGACAATGAACAGCTTGTACATATTGTTTGGCTTGTTTTAAGATGAGTATATCTCCGCCAGTGTTTCTATCGATCCCACAGAAACGATAAGATTAGGCAAGTTAGCTGATAGAAAAACGTTAGGGGGGTTAGTTTCTGGTTTCCTCCACCGAAAGCTATAGTCAGGGTGTGAAAATTGTTAATTAAGACGGATATGGGCGCACGCACACATTATGTATAGCATGTACAATCATCAATCGTAATAAAGAGCTCAGATTTCAATTGAATTGACTAAATAAATTCGTATCTCTTTAATTTCAGGAGGAAGTGTACATTATTGAGGATGAAAGTGCAAAGAAAAATCTTGGAAGGGAGAAGATTCCCATATCGTCAAGGCAAAATGTGCCCGGGCAACGCAAACAGGGACTGAGATATACGCTTAACTGCAGCAAATGCAATCGGGGCTTCTACAAAATCGCATCGCTCGAGGCACATATGAAGAAACACGATGGCATAGCTCCTCACACGTGCGTGCACTGCGGCAGGAGCTACGCAAGAGCAAACCTCCTTGAATCACACCTGCGCGAGAAGCACTTGGGCTCCACTCAGAGCATAACTTATCCGTGTCCCAGGTGCGATAAGGTCTACAGAGCTTCGCGCAGTCTGAACTACCACTTCAAGAGGGAACACAAAAGTCAACAGAAGCAGGAGCCCCCAGCCTCTATGCACATGTGCGACAGGTGTGGGAAATCGTATGCGCGAAAGGCGAACCTTGCACGCCACCAATGGGTGCACAGGAGCATGGATGAGCGCCGTCACGTGTGCCAGTTCTGTGGCCAGCGCTTCTACACGAAGCAAAACATGGTGGATCACCTGCAGCGACGACATACCAGCAGCAAGAGTCTATTGCGGTGCAAGAAATGCGGACGCATCTTCCGGTCTCGAGCGGCCCTGGCCGTACACCGTACAAAAAAGCATTCGAGTGCCACCACCGGTGGTGCACGGCAGAAACAGGATCGATCCTTAGCTCAGATCGTTAGGGAATAAGTAGTTAGTATTTTGTTGTTTTATTTATGTGTGGTTTTCAATAACTTTCAAGCCAACTCAACTAGTTACAATGATTTTCGAATTACTAAAAATTTATTATTATTACATTTAGGTAGATGGAAAATAAAGGCCTGCATAGAATAATCTTGAGAAATACTTGCACGATGAGTGAGTAGGTGTTTTCGGGGAGAGTTGTTTTTTAAAATTAGCTAACATTCACATCATTGCCGGCGCAGCATAACCGCATTAATCAAATCAAGTACAATATGTAAGTCGGGTGGTATCGATTGATTTGCTATGCTTGCATATCTCAAAATCATGTATAAAAACAATTAACTAAAATTTACGCTTAAGCTTAAAAAACGGACAGATTTAAAATTACATCATTACCATACCATGACACATTCATAAATCAGTAATTTGTTTGAAAAAATAATAATAATAAACATCATCCGAATATCTGATCTGATCTGTTCTTTCTCTGTCTCTGTCTCTATCAATGACAATGCACATTTGCCAAACAAAAATCGTCAGAAACTATATGAAGGGAGTGGGTTTGTGGTTTGTGTACTATGTGGGGTCAGAGTGGGAGATGAATGGAGGAGTCGCTTGCACTATATGTAAATAAATACGCCGCAATATGAGCATAGGATGAGAGGTAGCGGATCCAGTATGGGACCGCTACGAGGCGCCACAACCATTGTGACGGATATCTGCTTAGGTGTCCTTGTGTTTCTCGTAGAAGGCGTCCAAGTATTTTTTGTACTCCTTCTGGTCGTTCCACATCATCGCGGCCTGCGCATTCAGTGGACTCTCGTTGTTTGGCTCTCCCAGCAGTGACTGTATGGACAGCAGTATGGTGCGAACATCATACAGGGCCGACCACTTGTCTTTCAATATGTCCAGACAAATGGATCCTTGCAAATCGACGTTGGGATGAAAGCAAGATGTCAGGAACTTCACCACTGGCGCCGCATACGGATAAGAGTTGGGAAAGTCCAGAGACAGCCGGTACGTCTGCCCAGCGTAGACAGTGTTCAATGGTCCAGCAATGGTGCCGACCCACTTGAAGATGTTCTCGCCATCCGGAAAGGCTGAGATTCCCTTCTCGTTGGCCATCATCAGGTTCATTAGTTCTTTGTGCAGTCTATACGATGCGATGCATAAGAAGAATATGGCCAGGTCAGTTGGCATCACCATCACTGCATTTACGTGGACAGAATTGGCGCCTTACCTTTTGCTCACGGCATGATTGTCTTTCACTGGCATCGAGTCATCGGTGTGTTTGGTGCTGCCTCCAGATCCGCCGCTCTGTTCGGGGCTGATGTTCTGTTCCATTGCGTTGCGATGTGTATCTAGTGTTTGGCTTTACTGATTTTATTCAAATACAAATTTAGTTGCACGGCCAGAATACGCTTCCTTTTTATTTCAGTTTCAGTTTATTATATATTTTCGTTTTGCACTTGTGTGTGTTCGACTATGACTTTAAAACAGTACAGTAGATGACAGTGTTGGTTTGGGCGTGCACAGGGTTGTATTATGATTCAATCGGACGAGTGACAGCTGGTACAACAACGCACACTACTCGTTGCTCACATATGTGTATGTATGTATGTACATAAATATTACATACATATGTACATATATGTAGATGCAAAGTGTATTATTTACATATAATCAAATCAACAATATTAGCCGCTGGCAATGGATGAAAACAGCCTGATCTACGGGTTGGAGTTGCAGGCTCGTGCCCTCACGCCCCAGTACGGCGAAAGCAATGAGGTTAGCTTTTTTATTGCCACAAACTCCCTGAAGCCCACCAATCAGCTGCATTTGATTTCCTACGACGAGCAGCAGGCTTCCATACAGGCCAAGGTAACTGCATACGTACATATTTAAAGCGTATTTAAACGATCCAAACTATGTTTACAGGTGTTTGAGCACGCACTGGGCGAGGTTTGGAAGCTAAACAGTTGTCCACATGACTCCCGCCTGCTGGCATCTGTCTACAATGTCCAAAAGGGGGCACAGGTCCTGGCGCATGCAGCACTTTTAACGCTACCGGAGGATTTGAGCCTGCCTGACGGGGAGGAACTGAAATCGGAATACCTTCCTTGGGGACAGGTGGAAGTTTTGGACACAGAAGCCTATGGCGAACGCGTCAAAACAGTTGAATTTCATCCCAGCCAGGAGCAGACACTTGCCTGCGTGGTGGAAAACAAAGTGACGGTTATGCAGCGCGCAGAAGCCTCCACCCGCGTGGTGGCCGATGTGGCCAGCTCAGGCAGTACCAAGCAAACCTTTACCACCGGCAAATGGTCGCATCATCACCAGGGCCACCAGTTCCTCGCCTTGCACGACTGCAGCCTTAGTGCATACGATGTGCGCGACACACAGCACTGCGCGTGGAGCATTTGCGATGCCCACAGCCAGATGGTGCGCGACTTGGACTGCAATCCGAATAAGCAGTGCCACCTAGTGACGGGTGGGGACGACGGCTACCTCCGGATATGGGACTGCCGTATGCCCAAGGCGCCAGTTTTTGAGCGGAGTGATCACTCGCACTGGGTGTGGTCGGTCCGCTTCAACACATTCCATGACCAACTGGTCCTATCCAGCTCCAGTGATTGCAAGGTCCTCCTCACATGCGCGGGCTCTGTTAGCTCGGAGACGCAGGCCCAGGCTGGCCTAGATGAGGCGAACTTTGGTGGCGTGGAAACTGAGGAGCGGCACAAAGTGCTGTCGGATGGCCTACTTCAGACATTCGACCAGCACGAGGACTCTGTGTACTGTGCCGAATGGAGCAATGTGGACCCATGGATCTTTGCATCTTTGAGCTACGATGGTCGGGTAATAGTCTCAAAGGTACCAAAGCAGTATAAGTATCAGATTATATTTTAAGTTATTTGTATTATCTAAATGCAATGCCCAGTGGGGCATTTAAAGCGAATTGAAGGTAAAAATAAATCGCTTAGCCTGTGTCCTCCGATGTACAATCGGAAGAGTCATTGGGATTCGCAGTCTCTACGGAACAGACCCGCTTAATGAGTTCGTTTTCAATCTCTACGGTGCCGTTGTCCACAGCCTCCTCCATCTGAACATACTCAATGGTCGCTTCACTTTTCTTGGGCCCCGGGGCAACAGTGGATGCTGGGGCCTTGACAGCCGGTGCAACCGTTTCCACAGGATTCTTGGCGCTCGAGTCGGTATCGTCTTCAGCCTCCTCGGCGAGACTGCTTCGCTGCGGCTGGACGTCTGCGTATATGGCGGGATACTGCTGCTGCAGCTTCTGTTTTATAACTCTGATCTTTCGAAATATATAGTCCAGATCCTTTTTCATTTCGTTCAGACACTTTACGTGACGTTTGAAATCCTCATTGGCGTTTTTCAAACGGCTCTGGGACAGGGCATTGCAATTGAGCAGCATCTCATTGGTTTTCTCGAAACGCTGCAGCCTAAGGGGGATATATTCAAGACATTAAAGACTCTTAAAATTTAATAAAATACTTACATTTGCTTCTGAGCACGTATCATCGTCTCCACATCGCCCTGATTGACCATTCCAGCCAAATTCTGAATGAACGCCTCGGCAGCGGTGTTACCAAATCCCGTGTAGGACTCCAAGTCCGGTGTTGCATCGTCTGATTGGTTCGGATCCTGACTGTAAATGTGGCTCATGTTTCCTATTTGTCCGAATCAGAATCACCTTCTGGACTATGTCGATGTGAGTTTCTGTGGTCTAAACTCTGCTGCTTTACTGTGATGGCTTCAATTCCGATTATCTGTGAGGTCCATGCAATCAAAACCGATATCTTCTGTTGTTGCTATCAGTTTCAAATTGTTTATAATTCTTTGTTTATGTCATTTTTTTTTTTTTTTTGGTATTTAATCGCTGCTGCGAAATTGTATGGTCGCACGACGATGAGTCCGGTACTTCATTTCGATGATGGGGCTGTCGATATTTTCTTGTCTATCGATGGTTGTTAATGAGACCATGCATGGTGTTGCATTGGTATATTCTTATAATTTAAACAATATGATGCTTAGTTTAAAGTGTGGACGTATGTAAGAGTTTAAAAAAATAGTAGTGAAATGGATTGATGTGTATGTGAAGGTGTAGATGTGTAAGGCAACAGAAGGTTGCCTCAGAAAGTAGGAAAAACAGAAGGTTGCTCCTCAAGGTGACTTCCGTTGGCACCGCGTTAACCCGACCTGAATATAATCCAGTGTGTTTCGATTCACAACTCCAAATTAGCCTCATTAATAAAGTTGGCCAATTCTCTAAAAAAAAGAGGCTCCTTTGTGAGCAATAGCTCCTTAAGATCTTTAAAGCGATGAAAAATTTTATATTTTTTCCTGATAATAGCAGGCAGGAGAAGATTTCATGTTCCGCATTGTCGAGAACGTTGCAAACTTCGCAAATGTTGGTGTTTCTGGCTTTGATTTTGTGTAAAAAAACGTTATCATAGGTTCGATTAATTAACAGTCTATTTATGACCTTTATGTTTTTTGCACTCCAGTCGAGAGCCCAGTGCCATGGTTTGACTGGAATTTCATTGTAAATTGACGCAAAATAAATTCCTTTGGTTTTTGATATTTCCTTGTACTCATTGTTCCAATCCGTCTGAACTTTTATTTTAACTTTTCTTATTACTTCATCGAATGTTAGGGGTATATTAAATAGTTTGCCTACATTAGTGGCTGATTTGGCTAGTATATCAGTCTTTTCATTAATGGCAATGTTCTTGTGACCGGGTATCCAGTGCACAATAAAGTTGCTCGTGAAGGAATTGTCCATGTTGAGATGGATTTCGTCTGTCAAGTATGAATTTGATTCATTTCTCTTCAGAGCCTTTAAGGCGCCTTGACTACACTGGTCAACACGATTTTTCCTCAAGGAACAAAACCAACTTTTTATTAAAGATTTGGGGCTTAGAAATGGTTTGATGATCTTTTCTATGGCAGAAAAATACCAGACTTCAAAAATTCTTCAAAAAAAAGTTCTGCCATAGAAAAAAAACCATAATTCTTTAAAAAAATTTAAAGCCCCATATCTATCAGATAAAGTCGGTTTGGATCCTTGAGGAAAAAAAAGTTCGGTTTTGTCGAGTAGTGTAACATTAGCGAGTAGGATCGGATGTGAACTCGCTGTGGATGTGGCTGGACTCTCCTCATCGTTCTCTTTGCGGGAAGCATTATCGTTTGCGGTATTTGGAACTGCATCCTGTATCCTGTATGTAATACATACATATCTACATACATATGAATGTACCATTGCAGTGCTGTAAGATGTCAAAAAATAAATAACGCAATTTATATCGGATGTCAAATAGTTTGGCATTTTAGCCCCTGACAAGTTCTGCCACACATTTTTGTTCTGCCGGCGTCTTGCGATTTCGGTTTGGAATTAATTTTTGTTTTTTAATATTAAAATGAAGCTCGCTCCAACTGTAAAGTTGAACAATGGGTACGAAATGCCTATATTGGGACTGGGAACGTACCAGGTAAGCTGGGTATTTGTAACTATTACTTTTTCTAGTTGGGAGGGAAGAAATGGCGCGCTGCCATATCTTTATTGCTGCATTTGGCACATTGTACCATTTAGTTAAAGAAATCACGTTGTGAGAATGCTGTGCGCTATGCTCTAGAGGCGGGCTATCGGCTTATAGACACCGCGTACCTGTATCGCAATGAAGGGCTGATCGGGAAAGTTCTTAAAGGTCTAATAAGTAAGAGGAAAATACAGCGCAGTGAGGTGTTTCTGGTTACAAAGGTACGTAGGTATAGGATGCAGTCGAATCTGTGTGTGTAAATGGTTCCCCCCACAGCTTGGGACATCTACCACGAGCCCGAGCGGGTGCGCTACGCGTGTGAGCTGCAATTGAAGCTGCTCGGCGTTGACTACATCGATCTGTACCTGATGCACTCGCCCGTTGGTGTGAAATATGTCACGGACGACGATCTAATGCCGCATGAAGGCGACAAATTGTGCACAAAGTGAGTTCTGGGCTGCCCTCCTTCCTTCGAGCCGATTCTAATCTGGTGGATGCTCCCTTTCGTAGTGCCGTGGACTTTGTGGACACCTACAAGAGCATGGAGAGACTTGTCGACCTGGGACTAGTGCGAAGCCTTGGCGTGTCCAACTTTAATATTCTCCAATTGGAAAGACTGTGGCAGAGCTGTCGTGTCAAGCCAGCGGCGCTGCAGATAGAGTGTCACCCGGAATTGATTCAAATGCCATTGATGGAGTTTTGTAAGGCTCGCGACATCGCTGTAGTTGCCTACTCGCCTCTGGGTCGTCCCAAATCCTGCCGAGCCTTGCCCTCATTCTACACAGATGCTCATGTGCTGGCTATCGCACATAAATATGGCAAGACGCCTGCACAATTGGCACTCAGATATTTGGTATAATTAGCAGATAACTAAAACAAAGCTTCGTGATTGCTAACTAGTATAATTGTACCACAGATAGACATTGGCACGCTACCCATACCGAAGGCGGCTCAGGAGTTGCACATTTCCGAAAATCTGGATATCTTTGATTTCTGCCTCACGCCGCTGGAACTCCAGCAGCTGGGAAAACTCAATCGAGGGCTGCGCATCTGGAAGTTTGTGAAAGCAATAGATCATCAGCACTATCCATATGAGCACTCACCTTTGTAATGTAATAAATTCTCGTTCTGCTCAAAGTTGATCGTGCCTTTCTTGGGCCAAACGCCTTTGCTCTGCGGCATATGCTCGGATGTTGTTTTGATGGGTGAATTCACGCGACTCCGCTCGATCCACTGTAGTCAGGCTGAAACGTACGCGCCCTCTTCTTAGGAAGCGCACTATTGCATTCCATATGCGCCGCACAAAGCACATTTCAGCTACCTGTTGATTAATGGTAAAATCTCTGCTGTTTACTTGCAGTCAATTGACGGGGAAGGAACGGCTGCTATTAAGCATGCGATCGATATTGGCTACCGTCATATAGATACCGCATACTTCTACGAAAACGAGGTCGAAGTGGGCAGAGCCATACGGGACAGAATTGCTAATGGAGTTGTCAAGCGCGAGGACATTTTCCTCGTCACAAAGGTGTGTAGATTGCGAGATTCGGAAATAATTCAAAAATCCCATTTTATGTGGTCTAATGATGTTACAGCTATGGAATTCACACCACAATCCGGGCCACGTTGAGCCTATTTGTCGCAAGCAGCTGAGAATCTTAGGCCTGGACTACATCGATCTGTATTTGATGCATATGCCAGTTGGGTATAAGTATATAGACGAGGAGACTCTGATGCCCATAGATATCAATGGAAAACTCGAGCTAACCGACATTGACTACTTGGACACGTACAAGGCCATGGAGAAACTTGTGGAGCAGGGACTGGTGCGCAGCATTGGCGTGTCCAACTTCAACAGCGAACAGTTGGCGCGTATTCTGGCCAACTGCACGATCAAGCCTGTCACCAATCAGGTGGAGTGCTCCCCAGGGCTTAACCAGAAGCCTTTGACAGCCTTCTGCAAGAAGCATGGCATCACCCTCACGGCCTACTCTCCCTTGGGGCGTCCAAAGCCCGACGCTCAGAAGCCGGACTATATCTATTCGCCAGATGTTGTGGCCATAGCGAAAAAGTACGGCAAGACTACGCCTCAGATAGTTCTTCGCTATTTGGTAATAATCTGCATTAATCTTACAACTTGCAACTCGCATTAATTCAATTGTTTATTTTGTGACAGATCGATTTGGGTACCATACCCATCCCAAAGTCGTCCAATACTAACCGTGTAACTGAGAACTTCGACATCTTCGATTTTGAGCTGACTCCCGAGGAGATGGCTGTGCTCGATGGATTCAACAGCGGCGAGCGTTTGGTGCCACTTAATTTAATTAAGGCCCAGAATCACAAGTACTATCCGTTTGCCATTGAGTTTTAAATTTCAACCAAGTGCCAAAAGATAAAATAAAACAACTACATACGATTATAAAAACATAATTCGGTTTAACTGACAACTTTTTAAGTGCACAACTACTTTTATTGTATGCTTGATCATCCTAAATGTTAATTTTATGCCAAGGTCAGGGAGCATAGATCTTTTGCCATAGCACCTGCCGACTTCCAAGCTGACAGCTAGCTGAAAACCTATAAGTAAATAAATCCTAGAGCGAAGATGAAATTCGAATGTTATTCTATATACATAGAATAAACAGGGAGTGGGAAAAGTCTATATCGATTTGGCTGTGGCTGCTGTTCCAAGATTTTAGACTTTGTGGGGCCGGAAATGATTTGATAGCTTGGATTATATAAAAGTAATAATGATTATGATTGCCTTGGGTAGCACTGGCGTAGAGTCATTAATGTATGGCCAGAATTGTGTATATTATGGTATATTATGGTAATCGCTGGATCGAACTAAATTGGATATATATTCGGCAATATTCATGTGCAAGTTATTAGATGCGCCAAGATCCGAAATGATGCATGAAAATGTTTTTACACCCATTACCATTACGGATGAGTAATTATTTGTGGATTATTCGGTACACTGTGTAATCTACTTCCTAGGGGTATTCAGGCTGACGTCACCGCATCAGCATCCAGGTGATAAAAGATAATGAAAACAAAACACGCGCTGAATGAATATTTTTGGTACTTTGCCTCTGAACCCAATGGCACTTTGCGGCTTGTCTTAGGGGAAGATTCTTAGCCCCATTTCGTGCTTTCAGTAGAAGTAATGTTAGAACTTTGTGTTAGCTTTTAACTTAAAGATCTCTGTCATAAAAGAAACTTGGGGGGCCAAGAATACAAAGGCTCTTACATGAAGCTAGCTAGTCCCTCTTCATGGGACGGATGCTGAGATTACGTTGGTTCCACCAAAAGCGCAATATGCTGCCGCGCCGCGACAGCGTTTCGGTTCGGTTCGGCTTGGCTTGGCTTGGCTTGGCTGGACTCACCACTCAAACTCCGACTCAAGCGACAATTGAGTGGAAACGGCAACGGCGAAAGAGCGTGGCTTAAATAAATTTTCAGTTAACCAAAAATCGCCAGTTTCGCTCAAAGCGTCCCCACGTTCACATCGTCGTCGACGCCAGTTGCGGAGCTCGCACCAAAAGCGCAGTAGATTGACTGAGCCGATACCGATCCCCAAGCAACGCGCGCTATCACACATCCATCCATAACACACAGAAATTGTTATATAATTTCTTACATTTTTGCTTGTGAAATTTCGATCATTTGCGCGTACCTCCCCCCCTCTACCCAGTGCCAGTGCGTGAAACGAATCAAAAAGTGAGTTGAGGGGATCAGAATTTTGCCATGGGACATACGAGCAGTTGGTAAAAGGATTTAGGAGTGGGGTACACATGCTCGGTAAAAGAAAAGCTTACCCGTGCAGCAGGCAAAGAAAAACTTTCGCTTTCACTCTTGGCACAGACAGACGGGGGGCTGTCTGTAGTTGCGCATGCGCTGACGCTGACGCTATTGCGGCATGCGTCGTTTGCTTGGCTTAACCTACTACCTCTTAGGATTCGTTCGCGTGTGTGGGGCGGCAGGGAAGAAGTTCGAGACATTAAGTTCGAGACCGAGACCGAGACTTTGACCTACGATCATGGATCAGGTCCCTGGGAGTGAGCTGGGAGGCATCAATTAACAGGCGCAAGCACAACTAACTATTGAGCCATTGCTGTTGATGGTTTCCCAAGCGATGAGTGTCGCACTCAATTACTATATTACGAGTGTAGCCAAGCCAGCTTTTGTGGCTTTGTTCGGTGTCTTAATTGTGAAACCAACACCAAAAGGCCTGGCAAGGTCTTGTCCCCCGATGTTGGCCAACGCCATAAAACGCAATGTGGATGGAAACACACATATAAATGCAAGTTGTGCTGCGTCCGTGGGGCTGGCTTAGTACTCGTATAAATATTCATGGCAAGTACTTTTATTGTGCAACGCCCATGGACGTGGACGTGGACGTGGACGTGATTTCCTCTGGTCAACCTCGGCTGCAGTGCTGCTTCTAGAAGTCTGCGTGGAGTGGAATCAAATGCCAAATGCCAGCCAGATACTAGATCTAGACATATCTATCTATCTATCTAATGGAGTCGCAGGCGTTTCGCCTGACCCACAGAATAGCCTTGGGACGTGCTGTGACTTGTAATCCCAGATGAGGCGTTAATGAAGCCCGCTGATTACAGTTCGAACTTCGAATAATAGATTCTGTGAGATCATTTTGACACATGAATACAAATCGCTACTCATGCGCCGAACATTAGGGTTCTGGCCCAGACGAGCTCGGCCCGTACAATGCACCAGACCAGACCAGGCCAGCCCACTCATCCGTAATTGAGGCAAATGCAATCTATACGATAATACGGAAAGGAAAATGAAAATTAAAATGCAAATGCAAATCGGTTGAGAGTCGTAAAATCGAAATTGAGCCAAAGCAAACGAATTGCCAATGGGGCACGGTCATGGGGTGGGATTGAGCAAGTAATATCTTACTTTGGAGGAAGAGTATGGATAGAGTTAGTGTGTGGAGCACAAACCTGTTTTGAGCGTCTTTTTTTTGGTGCCCTGCACTCTCCGCCACTCCGCCACTCCACCTTTCCGCTCTTAATGCTGGACTTATGTGACGTACGTATAAACGTACTTTGGCTGTGGCTAGGTTTTATGCTGTGATGTAACCATCAGGCTAATTGGCAGAGCGGATGCCCAAAGAGCAAAAAAAAAAAAAAGAAGCAACAAAGTTACGAACGAATCGCATGTTTACAGCCATCGCCGCATCTTCATCTTCATCTTCATCTGCGCTGCTGTCTGTCCCCATAAATGATCGAGTTGCCACAATCCATTGCCATTCGCATTCGCATTCCCATTTCCATTTCCATTCCCCTGAATGGGGGTATACTTATGTGTACGATATATGTATACATAGGTATGCAATAAATTGAGCGTATTCAAAGCAGGGCATGTTACACGTTTAATTTTACAACAGAGCCTGACTGAACTGAACTGAACTGAACTGACTGAACTGACTGACGGACAGTTCGTTTGTTGTACGTTGAAAACTGTGTGAAGGCCATGAAAGTGGAAAAAACTTGATTTCGAATCGTCTAGATATGGCATGGCTATGTGCTGGTGGTGCTGCTGGTGCTGGTGGTGCTGGTGCTGGTGGTGACTCGTAAACAGTTTGTTGACCAAAAATAGTTGGTCTCTTTGGTGTTTATTTAGTGGCTGTGGACTTAAGCAGCAGCAGCAGCAGCAGCAGGCAAGGAGGGCTTTCATTGAGGCAAACCAAGTCAAACACGTAATTATAGGGCAGTTACCCATCCACATCCACATCCACATCCACATCCAGTCCATCTCTCTTTTGACCTTCGTTTAATGGTTTTGGATGGGTTTTGGATGGGTTTTGGATGGATAGAAATTTAAATGCCGATTAAATGACAACACAACAGAGCCCATGCCCAGCCACACAGCAGCAGCAGAGATCGAACGATAGCCGCTTTCATATGCAAAACAAAACCAAACTGGCGGCCTGGCCAGGGCCTGGGCCTGGGCCTGGCCTGTTTTTGGGTCACGGTCAATGGAACCAGAAAACAGCTGGAAAGTTACGGAAATGATACGCCGTCGTCGTCGTCGTCGTCGTCGCCGCCTTCAGATTAGCCAACAAAAAGAGACATCATGCATATTCAAATCGATTGTGGGCATCATCATCATCATCATCTTCAGCTGGAGACCCACACAAGCCATTGCACTCCTCCATGCCCATGCCCATGCCCCATGACATCCAAGACTTGGGGCTGCACAATACGAGTAGTCAAGTATTTCCATAGGTAGATAGATGTAGGCTAGTAAACTGTGGTGACCCTTGAGAGTTCGATGATTTTTAGCGTGTTTCGGGGTTGAGCAAGCGGACTCAGCGGACACCACACCACAATGTGGTCTGTGGCCTGTGTCTGTGCTCAAGGCCGACCAGCCAATTAGTTGATCAAGAAAATTAATAGCCAATGCGATTTTAACCAACAATCAACATTTTTGTTGCTTAGTGCTCGAAACAGAGGTGCTGCAACAACCGAAACTCAATGGCCCCATGGCCAGCGGTGGCGACTACGATTATCCGTATGTGTGCGGCCTCAGTGCCGACATGAAGGTGGTGGCCAAGGAGGAGCTGCACGAGGACGAGAATATACGTCGACAGGCGCTCGCCCAGTTCCGCGAGTGGATCGACAAGCATCCGCATATCAGGAAATGCCGCACCGATGCCGTCTTCCTGCTGCGCTTTCTACGCACAAAAAAGTTCTCTGTGCCGTCGGCCTGCGAGATGCTCGAGCGTTATCTGACCATTCGCCAGCTGTTCCCGCAGTGGTTCCAGCATCTGGACATCAATGATCCGGCCATAAATGAGATATTCGAGAATGGGTACCTGGTGCCGCTGCCGCAGCGGGATGCCATCGGGCGTCAGGTCATCTTCTCGGTGGCCGCTAAGTTCGATCCCTACAAGGTACGACCCTCGTGGCACCATTGCTCTCCTACTCTTTGCATATTTTGATTGAAAAACTTGAATTTCTTTTCAGTTCACTTCTGTGCAAATGGCCCGTGTGCACAGTCTCATTTGCGAGGCCCTGCTGGACGACGAGGACTCGCAGGTGGCTGGATACGTGTACATCAACGACGAGAGTGGCATGAATATGGGATTTGTCAGCCTGTGGTCGCTGACCGATCTACGCAGCATCGTCAAGTGCATCCAGAACTCGACACCCATGCGGCACAAGGAGACCCACTTTGTCAACATACCCCACTACGCCAACAGAATCATAGAGCTGGGCGTATCCATGCTCAGCGACAAGCTAAAGAAGCGCATTATCGTAAGTCCAATGCCGCCATTGCACATTCCCAGTCCGCGCTAAGCTCGCTTTATTCCCGTCGTATCCATAGGTCCACAAAAATGTCGATGCCCTGTCAAAGTCGAAGATAGATCCTGCCATCCTACCCAAGGAATATGGCGGCACTGTTCCCATGGCGGAGATGATTGCCCAATTCAAACAGAAGCTGCTGCAGCGCCGTGCTGCCATTCTCGCCCTGGACGACATGCGCATCGAGATCACCAAGGATGCGGCCAATTTTGCGGGCAATGACATCGGCGACCTGGACGCCGGAGTCGTTGGTAGTTTTAGGAAGCTGGAAGTGGACTAGGCAACCCTCGGAAGGACTCTGATCGTAGGCTAAGCTAGGATTAGGTCACATTACCATTGAGACAACTGACAAATACGCGCGGGCATGCACACTTTTCGTACCTATTTAATGCATTAACACTAAATTATATTTTGTAACCGCTAAAACAGTTGAGAACTCTCTGCGGACACCGATTGCCAGGCGGCGGTAAAGGGGTATCGCCACAGGACAAAAGTTGCAGTTGAGTTTTCGAGTTGTATCTTCGATCCATGCGTTATGCACTGTTACAAACAAAATGTCTATTTAAATATATATGTATATATTCTTGTGAATTTGAATTATTTGAATCGTTCTGGATATTTCATTTTGTATTCGTTGCATACCCGTTAATTATTCCGGGTAAGCGGGTAGATATAGAAAGCAGAAAACAGTTCCGCAAGTGGACTCCAAAACGGGTCCGAAAATATGATTGGGATCAGGGCCCTTAAATTCAGACACTTTATGGAGTTCCTTATGGATATTACCCATAAGTGGAAGTGGATCCATAAAATAGTTAATGCATTGTACTACTATAATGCGTACCAGGAAATTTTAAATTTAAAAGCTAGCATTTCGTATGACAGACAGCTCACCCGACCCGTTGGGCAGGGGTCGTGAGTAGGGTGTATGGTGCCATTGAAGACATACTGATTCGGTTGTTGAGCGCAATCCGTGCTAAACTGATCCACTTATGGGTACATTTACAGCCGGCACGAGGAGGGTTATGTTGTTCTGCGGGTAACACACAAAGCCGCAGGGAACGAGGCGTGCCGTTCCAGCGATCGTAATTAGTTCGTGTCTGAAGAAGTAGTTGCTCTTTTGTAGCGCGATAACGGTGACACAGTCGTCGGCCCCCCGCCCCACTCCGGTCGCCCCGAGAGAATCTTAGTGCATTCTAAAGCAACAAGAGAAGAGAGCTCTCCGGACAAAAGTTCTTTTGCCTGTGCTGGTGTGTGTGTGTGTGTGTGCGGTGTATCCATACTTGCGGACGTGAGAATGTGTGTCGGCATTATGATTGTACGTTTATTATATGGCCGCAATGCGAAGTAATTTTCAAGTAAACTTTTCAGTTGAATCGGAGCGCGCGAGCATGAGCATCATACCGAGAGTGGGCCCCGCTGCTCCAATCTTAATTTAAGTTGTTAATTTTCGCGCTCAGTGCCTGTGCTAAATGACCTTAAGTGATTCTCGACCTACCTGTAGGTAGAAGCCCGCGAGCTGAGTAATTCCAGTAGTAACGCGATCCACTCTCTGGAACGGCAGAGTGTCAGAGAGTGCATCATGATTTGAGCCGATGCACAATTAAAATCTAAGAATTGTTTATATGTTTTGTTTTCTATTGGGGAGAATCATCGCGTATCCACAAGTATCTGTAATTCCAATCGTCACGATTTATTGACACGAGCAGTTTACTTAGCAAGTAAATGAGCGGAGAGCAAGACCAAGACCAAGAGCGAGAGCGAGAGAGTGTTTTATACTCACACACACACACACACAATATCCAACCGAAAGCTTTGGCCAAACAGCTGTTTCAGTGTACGAATTAAGCTTTGGGGTTTATTGCTCTCTGAGCATGTGACACTGGCTGCACTTTCCAGCCGGAGAGATAGAGACCCACCACCACCACACCACCTCCTCTCTTCAAAGGTAGCTCCGATTTTTATCAGCACGAAGTACGAGTCACACAGATAAGGAGGAGCCGGCGGGTGTTAAGTCATTTCGGAAATTTATCGTTACTTTGCGCAATCGAATGGGAAGGGAGAACGACGAACACGACCCGTAATGCAGTGCGTAGTCGAGTAGAAACCCCATTGGAGCAACAATCATGAATAAGCTGCGATCCCTGCTGCCGGGCCAACAGACGCCCTCTCAGGCCTCCAACCGCCACTCTGTGGTGCTGGAACCGGAGATTGGCTTTCAGATCACCATCGATACCGCTGGCGGCGAGAGTGCAGCCAAGAACTCAACGGCGGTGCCAGAACTCAATGTCCATCTGATAGCCGCCCGACATCTTCCCTCCCTGTTCGGCTTCAAGATCGTCCAGGGCTATTTAATTAAGGTAATGATGATTAACTAGCTTCGATATCGTTTGAATGACTCTCATTGTGCTGCTATTCAGGTGAAGCTATTTCCCGGAACGAAGCGCTTGGACAGCAGCATTCAAACCAACACGTGGCCAAAGTTCAATGAAAACTTCAAGTTTCCACTGGTTCCAGACATTAAGTAAGAACTATGGCCCGCTTTTCCGCCCGCCAGTCAAATTAAAAGTCTCATCAATCAGATCTTCACTGAAACATGGCTCCGCACGGGACATGCTGTCCCGCCGTTCCACCAATACCCACCAGACGACTCCCGCGAATCACTTACCCGAGCCCGACGAACTTTTTGCCGGCCAATTTGTGGTCTTCACTGTGTACGCGCTCCTGGAATTACCTGCCGCAGTGAGTCAGTCAGTGAGTGATCCGCCCCGTCCTCGGCTAACATTCATATTTTAACAGAGTTTCAATCGCTTTAACAAGACATACCGCTCGCTGAAGGAAAGGAGCTCCAATTTTGTGCAGCGCCTGGTTGAGTCCTCGCCGGGTAGTACGCCCAACGAATCCAAGCCCGAAACTCTTGGCAAGCCAAACGAAGGCAAGTCGAAGAAGAAGTCTGACAATCCAAGGGATGCCATGCCACCGCTGACCATCAGTGAGTCCCGCCGGAACATAGGTGAGTGTGTCGGAGTGGGCATTCCATTCTTCGAATTTTCTCCAATCGGTTTTCCTTCAGGTTCCGTCACTTGCTACCTGGAGCCCAAGCTTTTTAAGCGGAATGCACGAACTGGTTGCTATTCCTCGGAAGAGCTGTGGCTTCCCATCAAAGATATAACGACGACAGTCTCCAAAACATCGTCCACCAGCAACAACAACAACAATAACACTGTAAGTTAGAAAGAAAGACATAATTACTCGTATGAGTGTTACCAAATAACCTGACCCCAACTTGTGTTGACACGGAGCCACAGCCCCCCCGCACCACGCCCCTAGAGTGTTGTTTTTCAACGTAATGGAGATGTACCTTAATTGTGCAGAGTGAAAGCTGCCTCCGATTGCTTGCAGTTGGGCAAACAAAACAAATTTTGGAATGGCAACAGCTAAATTAATTGTCGCACTTTATTTTCAGCTTAATAACTCACCCAAAGGCGTTGTCGAGCTGGCCCTCGAGGTGCGCGATCTCGGCGCGGGGCAGACACCAGGCGAAGGCGGCGAAGCAGAGACTCCTTTCGCGACGCCAACTCCTGCAGCAGGTCCTGCATCGAACAATTGGCAGCGGATGACCGCCGAGATGAAGCGGAAGATGGGCATGAGCAATGCCAGCAGTGCCGAGTCCGGCAGATACGTGCTACGCGTGACGACCACGCGCATGCGCTGCTCCAACAAAGTCAAGGATGAGCTGGAGGCCACGGCCAGTGCGGGTGTCTACGTGAAGACCACTGCATTTGAGCATGGCATCTACATCGATGCCTGGAAGTCGCCCAGCTTCTTCCCGTCACTGTCCACCAAGTGGGACGATGGCACGGACGCCAATGAGGGAACCATAGCCATTCCGTTGCGGAGTCTGGGTCAGCTGGAGAACATTGTCGTACGGGTTACGCTGGCCACCAAGAAGATGGGCAAGAAACTGGTCCTTGGCACGGTACTGATCGGAGGGGATCGTGCCGGTGACACGGGCTCGGAGCAGATGCGTCTCATCCGGGAGACTCCGCCCGGCGAGCGGGTGGCTGCATGGCACTGCTACCACTAGTGGCGCACCAGCTCCTGCTCCAGTCCCAGACGAAAGCCAAGCAATTCCATGCCAATCTTCCAATGTTAATAGCGTACGTTTTAGCCAATTAATATCCAAATCAAAGTGTAGTTTTCAACGCAGTACACACACGTGTGTCTACTGTTCGATCGTAAAATTATTAAATTTAATTGTAAACACTAAAGTATTTCATCGGGAAAGTTGGTTCATTTCTCATCGTCGACGGCGTGTAACACAGCAGCAGCGGCAGCAGCGGCAGCGGCAGCAGAAGATGATCCGCACAGGCAGCAAAGAAACAGACAGACAGACAGACATACCGACACACATATGTGTGTGTGTGTGTGTGCCCTGGTCGGGGTTTTTCGCTTTGGAAGCTACTATACAAAAAATCAAATAATACGTACGGTACGTACAATTTTCTCACTATTCCAACGCACTGTGCACGGCCGAAATGTGTGTGGAAAAAGTCGTCGTCGCATATGGGACGTTTTTTTTTTTTTGTGTTCAGCTCGGTGCGAGCATTGGAATCGCGTCCGCTCAGTTCTCGAGAAGCCGTCGGTTGGATCGGATCGGTGTTGTGTGTGTGCTACTGTGGTGTGGAGTTATGAGAGGCAACGCAACGCAACGCACCTACGGATCGGCAATTCTTGTGTTTGGTGGCTGTGCCGCTGATTTTCCAATGTAAAAATAAAAATGAAAATGCTGCTCAAATCTGTATAAAAAGTGTCCCGTCTAGTGCGCGCGAAGCTTTTGGAGCCGTTTGAGAATATTGAAGAAACATCTAGAGTTATTTTCCAGGTAAACTTTGGGCAAATCGAATCCGTTTTGAATTGGAATTACCTTCAAAGTGCACCTCCAAAGAGTCACCAAAGTTGCGTATCGAAGTGCAAATGCCGCCCCTGATCTATGTATGACATAAAACGTTTCATTCATGACAACAATCTGTGTTCGAATATATGCTATATGTGGATCGTGGATCTGCATTCATGCGAACTCTGATGCACACACACATGCACATGCATATACATATGTATGTACATATGTACATGCTCTCGTCTGTGTGCTTAAAATGCGTTTAATTCATCTGCTGAAAATGGGCTGCTGCACTGTTCTGGGGGTGTTTGGGGTGAGGTGGAGGCAGAGCCAGAGCCAGAGCCAGAGGCAGGGGCAATCTTTGTGATGGCATCTCGCCGACGAATCTGCTGCGGCAGTGTGCCTGCCTGCCCCGCCAGTCGAAGCATGATTTATTTTCAAACAACTTCCGCTAAAGTTAGTCGCCGCAGAACCAAAATTTACATAGTGTAATGCGTAGCCCAATACAAAAGAAATTGAAAACGGCTGCCGCCGACGACGACTAATAAATTAAGAGAACCCGAATCTGTGACGCGATTTCGGCCACCGCTGCCCACGGGCCACGGGCTGCCTGCTGCCCACCGCTGCCCACTAGAGATAGACAAAAGCTAACGAAGCTCGATCTTTCGGTAATCGGTGCGTCATTAAAAATTGCATTTCGTTAAACGGGGGCGCCCGCGTACCTGCAACTGCAACGCAGCTCGCCGCGACAGCTGCTCGGTCCAACCAGACACTGTGGCTGGCTGGCTGAATGGCTGAATGGCTGGCGGCCGGCTAGAGATCGGGTGAAAAATAAGCACACATCCCACCAGTGGACGCTTAGCCAACGCATCTGTGGAAGTTGTTGATCTCTGGCCAAATCCAAATTTGTACATTTCATTCATAAAAAGAGACGCGGCGAGCAGAGCAGAGCGCGTAGTGTTTCCAAACAAAATACCCGCCACGGGGGCACAGCTACAGCTATAGCTACAACCCATTGACCGACCACATGCTGCGAAGGTGTGGGTGGCGGCAGGGCCAGAAGATGGGTTGCAAGATCGTGTTTGGTTTATGCTGGGCGTTGGGGTTAGGTGGGATCAAGTAAACATATTCATTTATTTATGAGCACTCTCGCCCATTAGATATACTCAAAAGTATGCAAAAAAAAAACAACAAAACAAAAAAAAGGTGGGATAATTTGATAAACGGACATTTGGCTTCCGAACCGAGCCACCGAGCCACCGAGCCACCGAGCCACAGGCATTTTGTGCCAACATCTGGGTAATATGCGATAATTTTATGGTGCGAGTATTTATGAAGCCAAGTCGACGCGTCGACCCCGTCATAGTTGATTTTTAATCGCACTTTGTCAAGGTAAGGCACAGAGCGCTGTGCTCTGTGCTGTGGTGGCGATGATGCCAGTGCCGAAGGTGGAGGCGGAGGCGTCTGCGGGTCGCCAGCGGTTTGTTTACCCGGACAGATCTCAGATCGCAGATCGCAGAACGGGAGGGAGATATCGGGCGGCTCACTGCCGGAGAGGAGACTTCTGTTTGCTGCTCTGTTTGCTATGCGGACGCATCGTGTTCTAATTTAAGAATCCGCGTCGCTCCACGCACACACAAATGTACTATTTCCGTCTGCTATATGACAATTAGGGTGGACTCTTGCAGTTCTCCATCCCACCACTTGATCCTGGATATATGCACATATATCTTAGATTATAATAAACAGATCTAGTTCTAACCATATCCAGTCGTTTATATTCTCTGTTCGAAATGTGATTATTTTTTCTTTGTATATATGTATTTCCGTGGTTAATATGCCGGGTTAATATCCACCCTAATGCATAGCCATATATCGTCAGGTGTATGAATAGTTTTCTAGCGCTTTGTTTGTTGTGGAATTTTATTTCCAACCGGCGAAAACATTCTTCACCTCACAGCAGGCGGGCAGCGTTACCCAATATCATCTTATTGGATTTGCTTATTGGATGGGAGCGCTGACACAACACCCATAGAAATTTCTCAAGTGTTCTACGAGTATTTATTTTACTTGTGGAAATTGTACACCCCATGACTGATTGATAAATAGGGGAAATCGGTTTAGTTTTCACAGAACTGAACAGAGCAGAACAACAAACAGCACAACTTATGGGAAACCTGGTCCGGGAGTGTATGCATTTTTTGGTCATTGCGGAAGAACCAGAATCCGCCAAGTGGTGAGAGATGTGCAGCCAGCAGCCGCCGGCAGCCTGTCCTTAATGGGGGGCGGGAGCTGGTTTTTGCGCATCTGACCTTATATGCACAACCTCTCTCCGGAGAGGAGATGTGTATGTACTTGGGTTGCCATCTGAATATGGTCAACATTCAGTGTTGACGTAAGATCGATGTACATACGCGTGAACCAACAGGCTTGTGCTCATTGCTGGTTGCTGGTTGCTGGTTGCCTCTGCTGGTTCTGGGACTACTTAAAATTCCACAGTGGTGCAGTTGGGATTCAAAAACGGTGAGAAGCGGGAGGGGAGGTACTAGCATCAGAGCATTAGTTTTGCCAGACAGAGAAAAGCACTCGCATATCTCACAACCCCACAGCATCAGCATCATCCCAATGCTGTGCCTTTGAAAATGGATATACATATACGTATGTATGTACATAGTTTATCTTTATGTTTTCAATTTTCCTAGCTTCCCCATGCTGCTTGTAATTAGTACATGTATGAGTATGTAGCTAATTAATTTTCACTTTCTGGCCCACGCTTTTGATCGCTCTGGGCCTAAGGTCTCATACAAGTTCAAAATGTTTTCCTTTGTAGTGGGACTCGGCGGCATTGGCATCGTTTAATTGTGTGCAGTGTGGGGCGGAGCAGACTTCTTGGATTGCTTTACTTTGACGCAAATGAGTCGCTTAGTTCGGGTAAATTAGGCAAATGAATTGGCACTTAAAAGCATGTCAGAGGAGGATGAATCCATACCAGCCCGGTTCCCCACCGCACCGCTGCGAGCCACAAGTACAGGTTCAAGTACAAGTGATCCACATACGTGAAAGTATTATGCATACATAGGTATTACTTATATAAGATAATTGGGACAACTGTTGCAAGACCAGTAGCATTGCTCTCGCTGTTCGCCACAGTTGTGCAATGGGAAGAAACTTCCCTAAGTGAAGATTGCATTTTAATCTTACTTTAAAGTGCGGAAACTTCAGTTCTTTAATTTCTTTTTCTATTAGCCCTACAGAGCATTTCATATACGTCCCTTGGTGGGACGGTCTATTGTTCAACGCATCGAAGCCGAGATCCAAAACAATCGAGCATGAAAGTAATGTGCTATATTTTTGAATTCCTGACAGTTGTGCAGCTGCTGGCTGAAACTCAGGTGAGTCTATTGATTATCCCCCACACCGATCGGCCACCCACTTGACCTAGCTATATGTATATTACGTCAACTCGAAACAATTCCATTCCCTTGGGAACATTGTGTGTGTCAGTGTGTGTACTTCTAACAATTGCAAGGTCAATTACCGCGTCCAAATTAGTCGCACTCTCGCTTTTTTTTTGTTTTTTTTTGTTTTTTGCTTTTTGTTATTGTTGATTGAGAAACGATACCCAGAGTTATACGCGTACTCGTATGTAGGTTGAAAATCGAGTCCGGAACGATGTCAGTCTCCTTGAGCTTGAGGCGGTTACGGGGGCATTGCATGTGGTTTGTATTTCCGCATGATTTCATGAGAATTTCGCAGTTTCGGCGTTCCCCCCTAAATTTACATATTCCACGAAATTGGATAGACGGCCATGACCTACGGGGGATTTTACTAGATCGTACTGGATCGTATACAAATGATTATTTATTATTGGGAGGAAATGCTTTGATTTTACATTAATTGGCCAAGACAGCTGGGATTCCAGGAACGATACTTGGGTGCTTGCATTTGTTTTCCATTAAATTTCAAGAATAAATTACTTAAATTAGCAATATTCCGTTTTGATGGCATACTTTTGGGTAGCAATACCACAGAAAGTCTGTAAGCAACTATTATACAGGGATAGGGATAGGGATAGGGATAGTATAGGGATACGGCTGCCGTCGAAGCCTATTTTCGACTTGGGATGTAGGGATCGTCAGCTCTGCCGTATGCTATTTATAGCGCCCGACGGCGACGGCGACGGCGACGGGCGGCGCATCGCATCGCGTCGCATTTAGGAACTGGAGAGTACTTCGTCTCGGAGATCCCAATGCAGAAGGCAGACACCGAACTGTCGAGAGCAATGACACTTCAAATAAAAAGCGGCGACATCTCGCCAGTGCCATTGTCTGATTTATGGCAGATGGGTGAGGCGCATGTTCGGAGGCTGCTCAGGCGGGTGCTGAAATGGGAGTCCCGAACTGCAAGCTGTGGGTTGGCAGATCACATTACACGTCCCATAAAACAGGAAACCGAAGCCTTGCTCCGCTGGCTGGTAATCGAAATGCTTTTTGCCCTTCAGAGTGGTCACGTCCAAGAGGCGAAAAGGTCCATTAATGCAGAGATACGCGACGCACTGGGCCACCATCATCGCTCGTACCATGGCTCCCACTGGATCGATGGCAAGCGGGTCCACCGGATGCGTATGCCCCACCAGCGCTGGAGTGGCCGGCGACGGTCGATCAACCACCATCAGCATCAGCATCAGCCCTTCAGCCGCTGGACCCAGTGGACGCCGTGTGACGAGGAGTGCGTCAAGCGACGGGAGCGATACTGCAAGGCGAAGCGGCGTTGCGGTCACACCAAGCACGTGGAGCAGAGCAAGTGTCGACGGTGAGTAGAGTGGAGTCCGGAGTCTGGAGTCTGGAGTCTTAATGGGGAGATAAGATATTTAAGGTGTAATCCATTGCAGCTGCCATCCTGCGCCACCTCCCATGAAGGTGAGGGAATGGCATCAGCCAATGGCCAGAGAGCCGCTGCACGTCCAGCAGGAGCATCAAGGCCAGCCGTCGATAATCATCAATGCAGCGGCTGCTGCCTCAAGTGGTCCATCGGCTAGTCACATGGCAGCACCACCCACAGCACCACCCACCAACCACTGGGCAAGTCCTCCCCACGATTCGGTGGAGGTGGTGCACAGGGGGCCATCGCATCGGCCCAAAGTGGTGTACAGCGAGGCGGAAGAGGATGAGGAACAGGAGTCCGATGAAGATTCGGAATACTCCGGAGAGCGCGGCGACTTCTATGTGCTCAAGCACAGCCGGCACAGGCGCAGACAACGCCCCAGGAAGCGTCCCCAAAGGATTAAAAAGCCGAACTACTCCCACGAAGACGATGATTTTGATGATTATCTGGAGCCAAGGGCGCTGCGGCCACGGAACATGATTGTGGATAGCAGCGGCGGCTTGGAGGGTGACATTTTCCAGTACGAGGACTTTGACCTCGAGCAGGAGACCCTCGAACCGGAATCGGAGGAGTACGTTGACCTCCGCAACGACAGTTTGGCCCAGTCGCCGAAGGAGCGATACACGCCGGACGGACTCATTCCACGCCGCCGACGCATTTACTCCAAGTGGAGCCGCTGGAGCAAGTGCACTCCGAAGTGCACCACGCGCCGCTACAAGTAAGTCGGAGCCAGCCCCGGGCAAAGTCCTCGCTAATCCCTGGCTACTTTTCGTTCCCTCAGAAAGTGTCGCATCAACGAGCAGTGCGGCCGCGAGGTGCTCCGCGAGATCGCCTACTGCTACACGGAGGGCAGCTTCTGCCAGCAGTGGCTGCAGACGCAGTTTCAGAAGAATCCCGCCTATGAGACGAGGCCTGGCCCCGCCTCGGCGCCCATCATGCAGCGCAGGCAGTCGGACGCCGCGCTCAACAGGCTGACGAACAACGAACTGGGCGTAATCATGACCAGCAAGGGCTATCGTGGGCCAGAGTACACGCCGATCAAGCTCCACTGCGGCATTGCGCGCAGCGGCAGTGGGAGTGGCAGTGGGCGCCGCAACATGAACAACATGCTGAAGATCATTGGGGGCAAGGTGGCGCGCAAGGGGGAGTGGCCGTGGCAGGTGGCCATCCTGAATCGCTTCAAGGAGGCCTTCTGCGGAGGCACGCTCGTCGCCCCCAGCTGGGTCCTAACCGCCGCCCACTGTGTGCGGAAGGTGCTCTATGTACGCCTTGGTGGGTACTCGAAGAAGAATTAATGCTCCGACAGCTAACTATCTGATTTGTCCCAACAGGGGAGCACAATCTGGACTATGAGGACGGTTCCGAGGTGCAGCTGCGGGTGCTCAAGAGCTTCAAACATCCGAACTTTGACAGGCGTACGGTGGACAGCGATGTGGCACTGCTAAGGTGGGTAGAAAATGCGCATGGCAACTTCTTGAATCTTTAATCTGTCTCTGTCTCTCTCTCTCTGGGAAAAGGCTGCCTAGGCCAGCCAATGCCACCACCTGGATTGGCTACTCCTGCCTGCCGCGACCCTTTCAGGCTCTGCCCAAGAACGTCGACTGCACGGTGATCGGTTGGGGCAAGCGTCGCAACCACGATGCGGCGGGCACCAGCGTGCTGCACAAAGCGAATGTGCCCATTATCCCCATGGACAACTGTCGCAACGTCTACCACGACTACACCATCACAAAGGTACTCATCCATATGCAGGATAGGATGGTTCGTATTTGGGTATTAATGAATTTTATTTCGGGCAGAATATGTTTTGCGCCGGCCATCGCCGCGGACACATCGACACCTGTGCCGGGGACTCGGGCGGGCCGCTACTGTGCCGTGACACAACCAAGCCCAACCAGCCGTGGACCATCTTCGGCATCACCTCCTTCGGCGATGGGTGCGCCAAGCGCAACAAATTCGGAATATATGCCAGGGTGCCGAACTACGTGGACTGGGTGTGGTCCGTGGTTAACTGCAATGGCAACTGCAAGATGCAGTAGGATTGATTGATTGATGCTTGCCTTGCGGGGCCTTGCGTCCGATCTGTTGCAGAGGCTGTGAACGATTAATGTATACTTTAAGTGCCTTAGGATCCCATGAGGTAAACCCTCAGACTACATGCTAGATGTTCCCTAAATAAGTCCCATTAGGTTTATTCGAAAATCCAAACGACGTTTCGACTGGAGAACAGGACTGGCTGCGGTCCGGGCTCTATCCATATTGTACATACTCGAAAATAAATGTTTTTTCTCGCTCCCAACTTTATGTTATATGTTAAAAAGTTATATATCTCGTGTATCTCCCATAAGCTAACATTAGTTACAAACTAACCTAAGAACATGCAGAAATCTGAGATTCCCCCCATGTACTTAGCCACTTTTAATGAGCGTTTCGTTTCTTGTATATTTAAGACATCAAATCAAATCAATGTGTAAATAATGCAAGTATTTTTCAAGAATTTTCAGCCCGTCTAATAAGTATTTTAATTATCGATTAACCAAACTGAGTAGAATCGTATCCATTAAGTGATGATGTCGGGCTTAATGGGCTGAAACCCGTTTAGTTCCGAAAACAAACAAAATCAAAATGTGCGATTTATGGCTATGGAACAGCGTTCAAGGTTGCGCCCAAAGAGATCCAAACAGAAGTAAACTAGTATGTAATAAAATTCCGTAAGAATTCTGGTTCTGCTGTCCGGCTATCGTTTCCCGAGATGATATGTAAAACAGATGAATGACTGGCGCAGGAGGAGGTGGAGGTGGAGGTGGGAAATACCAAAGATCGAAAGAAATGTACATTACGCATTAGTTTATATTTATTGGTGTTAAATGCCGCACACTTTTGTTTCCACAATAAAACTATTTAACGTGACCTCTATACACATTCTTTTTGTTTTGTTTTTCTACCACTACGAGTACACAATTGATTATAAAAACAAACGATCACAAGAGAGAGAGGTGAGTGCGTGCGTGCGCACACTTGCAAATAATAGTATATCTGTATATAAAAACATTCCGTACAAAGATCTACATATATGTATAAGGGGGGGGGGGGGGGGAGGCTGGCTGGCTGGCTGGCTGAACCCACCAACCAACCGATTGGCATCTCAGCTGCCTATTTATCAGTCAACATGTAGTGCAGCGCCACCGACGTCAGCAGCACCAGAAGAGCAACCGCAATGCCCACCATATAGAGGCTGCGCGACAGCTCCGGCTTTGGCATCGAGCTGGCCATGCTGCGCGTGTCGTCTGCTTGGTCTTGGCTCGTCTGGATGGGTACATCGTCCGGCAGACCCTCGGCATCCATGCCAATTGCTTCGGGGTCCAGTTCTACGTCCAGTATTTGCTTGGCTTGTGCCACAACCACGGTGGGGGCCTCACCACGGAACAGGTATTCGGAGAACTGCACAGTGACGCCGCCAGATGTGCTGGGGCCCTCTGAGGGCAGGCTGAAGAACACTCGACGGGGCGGCTCGCTTATAAAGATGGCTTCGCTGGTGGCGTATGGGTCCGTGAGGCCATCGCAGTAGACTTGGATGCGCGTGGTCAATGAGCGCAGAATGTCATCGCGCAGAAAGCGCTTCGCATCCGCGATGCTGTTGCGTGGACTGCAAAAGATGCGCGTGGTGATGATGCCGCTCGTGCGCAGAGTGCCGTTAAATTCGCGCACCTTTAATGTCTGTGGGCTTGGCGAGCTGACACTTCACCGGCAGCAAAATGCTGGCACGAATGATCTCAGATCCGCCAAGGAATCCTTGAGAGTTCAGCAAATGCAGAGCCTCCGATGCCTCCGATGACGGGGTTGTAGCGTTACTCGATGCCGCCTTGAGTTTCTCCTCTTTGCTTTTCCTCTTCTTGATGTACGTCTGCAGGTCGATGGTGTCCTCGACGATCTCGTTCTGCAGAAACACCTCGCTGACGAGAATGTTTTTGCGAAATGCCAGAATAATATTCTGAAACTGGTCCTCAATGTTGATCCGACGCGCCGTATTCACAATGGGTAGGATGTCTTCCAAGTCGTACATGCACTCCAGCTGTATCCACTCGAACGGCTTCTCCACAAACTTGTACTCCATGTTGGAGAAGGTACCGCCGCTGTCAAGGAGCAACATTGATAAAGTTTCGCATTAGTCCGTCGAATAAGGCAAAAATAACCAAAAGCAAAACTACAACAAATACAATATAACGATATTATGGGATGGGCTAGGACATAAAATGCATTCCGAGAAATCAGAATTGTAAGGATTGAACAGGGCAAAGAAAACTACATAAAGGCACGCCTAGAGATGCGAAAACGATTCATAATAATTGGCTAATGTTATGAAGATTTGATTGGACATATGTATGCAAATTCGAGTAGTTATTTACCATATGATGCATTTTATGTTTGCCGTAAAATACGTTTTCTTGCAATGTCTATTTAATACGTATGTATGTATGTGTAAGCAATTCGTTTGGTAAAAGAAAAGATACACCGTGAATATTCAGAGTGGCTCAACGACTGACCCCGCCATTTGGGGCTGGCCCAAAGGCGGGCGGAGCGTTGCTGGTTACTACTTACTTGCCGTAGGTGTAACTCTTGCACAGCACTTGCTTGTTGGCCAAGGAGTACGAGAGGAATACGTAGTCGCTCTGCGCCACATCGGTGGTGTATATCCCCAAAGACTTATTGCTTTTCAATAGAATGCTGCAGAGAAAGAGAAAGCATTCAGCCGGATTTCCTATGGATTTCACCATCTGAACTCACTCGTAGACATCAGAGAACAGTTTTTTGGCCGTCTTTATTTCGGAGCTCTGGTCAGTGGTTGAGGCAACGAAGATTCCTGCAGAGCAACACACATTTTACACATTGTACTCCGCCCACAGTGGGCGCGCAAGCATACATACCGATGACGTCAAATGAGCCGGGACACATTTTGCTTGCGCTCAGCCATTGGGAGGCCAACGCCTGCGAACTGATGTCGCTTATGGTCAGTCCGACCTCAGTCAGGTCCTCCAGATCGGCATCTTCTTCGTTATTTCTGGCCAAATGGACTACAAACGTTTTGGACAGATCGGCTTGCTGGCATTGCGGGGGAGGGGAAGGGCAGAGTGAGCCGTGGACAACAAACAAATCTACGTGGCGTCGGTGGTGCACTTACATGGCCGATGATGATGCCGTACGAGAACCGGTGCTCCTGTGCGCATTTCTCCAAGTAGAGCTCATCCGCCTTGCTTAGGAGTAGTGTGCGCATGGTAAAAAAAGGAATTACCTTTTTAATTTATTTAATTAAATTGAGTCCCAAATTTGTCAGCACGGCACGGTATTATTTAGGCAAACATTGACATATTTGTGTACATCTATCGGTAATTGTACATCTCTAGAAACTGTTACTCACAAAAGGTATCATCTCTAGCGAACTGGCGGTTATTTTTTAAATGGGAGTAACAATGTTGCCACATCAGTGAAATGTGTTGTGGCACTACAAAATTATTCAATCAAATAATAATTCAACATAATTTAAATCCCTCGCTTGAGGGAAATTTATCACTACCATCTGTGGGGGGAACGAGATTTTTATACTTCTATCGGTAATTTTGCACCCCTAGAAACTGCTACCTGCAAGACGGGCCATCTCTAGCAACCTGCGGTTTAATTTCAAATACGATTGATGAATGAAATTTACCTTTCTGGCTCTCAAATTTACAGAAATTAAAAATTAACCATAAATTAAATACCCCTTGAAGGGAAGTCCCTAAATTAGTGCCTCACCTGCATCTGCTGCATCTGTGGTGTGATTGCACCAGCTATAAGAAATCCTCCTTAAGACCTCAGCATGTGTGCCACCCAACTGGTCCCGTGGTCAAGTGTCTTGTGGACTATGGAGCGAACGGACGCGATCGGTAATCGAATTAGGTAAACAAACACTCCATAAGGCGGGCGTACGTTGATAATGTGTGCATAAGCAAATAGGAGACGAGGCGGGCAGCGATTGCGCCGGTGGTGATGACGGGGCCAAATCAAAACCAAATGAAATTTTACGTTTAGGTGGTCGCCAACGGCTGTGAGCCATCTGCTTGTGTGAATGCTTGATTGTTGAAGTGCCACTCGATGGGGCGAGGGCGCACGCTACTCTCCAGCGTCTCCGGGCTGATCTGATCGCTGGCGTCTTATTTACTTAGTAAATTATTCCTGTTCGATTGTTTGCGTTTGCTCTGGATCTCTGGCACAAAAGACCCTCGAACGTCATCGTCAGCAGCCCCATCGTTGTCGTTGTCATTGTCGTTGTAGTCGTTGGTTCATTCATTCATGATTTGCCTTTCACAAATTTGATTTGTATGTACGGCTCCGATGTGTGCCATAAATGTGCATTTTGCATTCGAACATATATATGTACATATGTATATGTATGTACTCGTAGTATATACAGCAGTATTCAGCAGTTCTGATCAGCTTAGTGAGACATCTCATTATCGACGGTTCTCCCGACGATGCATTCTCCATTTATGTGTACATGCATCCCGTTTCACTTGCAGATTTATTTCCATCTTCTGCTGATACTTTTGCTTCTGCTGGTCCAGGAATCGGGCAGGTAATTGCTTTTTAACTCGACATTCAGTCCCGTCTGCCGTCTCCCCCAGCCACACTCCCATCCATCACTACGCCGGGAGCCACTCAATTCGTAAGCTTTGATGCGATTTGGCTTCTGTGCAGCCTCCTCGACTCGACTGTGTGTTCTGTGTGGGGCTCGTTGATCTGATCACGCCATGTGTAGTTTAGTTGCAGTTTCGATTCACATCGGATTGCTTTGCCCAGGCAGCGCATCAATCATCCATCACGCACCCAGAGACAACGACCTAGCTTCGCAAAACGTGTCTACCTGCATATACTGCCAGTACATACAGATGTATGTACATACATATGCATATTCATTTATCAAAGCTACAGTCGTGATGTTTGTGTATATAGAGAAACGGAGTTGAGGCTGTAAGGGTCTTTGTACAGACATATGTACATTTTAAATTGGAGAGAAATTTATACGCAATATAAGTTCTAGTCTATTCCATATACTTCAGTTTGTTTTTGGATAAACTAATTACATGTAAATACATAAGTATACGTTTTATGCCGACTATGCGGCTTAGTGCATGTCAAACAACCCCTTATTCCCGACCTTGAACGGACAATCGAATTAAACATTTTTTGAAATCAAAAGATTCGAGATATTTGGAATAACGTTAAACATCTGAATCATGACTGTTTTTTTGAGTAATTTATTGATTTTTCAACTTCTTTAAGAATTTCTGTTGCATGCAAGCCATTAAGACCGTAAATGGAATTTTAAAACTGTTAAGAACTTAATACAAAAAAAATATAGTCAGATATCTGCTGGCTTACAGTTTCCTTGATCGAAAACTTTACTCAAGCGGAACAAATTCTTTATTTTCAATCTACTTACAAATGGAATTAATGGAATAAACTGTGTCGACCATTTAATCTATGGTTTTTTTATCGAAGAAATACGGAATACTTACAGTTTAAAATTTCATAAAGATGGGGGAGAAGACTGCAATTTAGATTCTATTATTCCAATTTCATGATTCCTAGATTTATCCGATGGAGGCACTTAGGCTGTCACTTAAGCGTTGCCTCGTTAAATGGAGTCAGAATTGATCCAATTAACTGTCAACACAGATCGATGTAATATCCAGATGTAAGCCGATGTAAAACTATATCTTTGATTCCATTCAAAAAGCTCAGGAGATTTAGAAAATGGTTCCAATGGCTCGTAAGTATCTAACGCCCAATGCCTGAATGCAGCTAATTAGGGGAACTGAAGCTGAAGTACACTCCGCACAACACACCGCTGCGCTCACGCTCCCTCCTCCCCTTGTCGGCGACGAGTCGGTAATCGTTTGATTTGTGAGCGCGCAACTACACCCATTGGCAGAGTAGAGTTGTCCCGCTCGCACGCTAGCGACGGCCTCAACGGCCGCCATTATGAAAGTCCAGTGGCGGAAAACCGGTCGACGCTGCGCTGCAGATTGCACTCAAACATTGAGTGAGAGGGCAAACTGGCTCTTCCAGGTGGAACTAACTGACTGCCAGGTGAAATTCGAGCCGAGAGAAAACGAAACGAGCCGAGTCTAGCGACCAAAGCGAGACAAACGAACCGACAGTTTGCTCTCGGCCGCGCACAACGAAACAACAAAAATTTGCTTGAAACTTGACGGGTTGGCGCTTTTAACCGATTTCAGTAAAAGTTCCGTTCGAACATACAAACATAAGCTTTAAGGGCAAGATTTCTTTCCAACTAACTGTTTCGCGGACAGTGATGTGCAGTGAAATAATGTTCCGTGCTCAGAGTGTCAGTGAGCCGTCGAAGAGGAAGTGAGGAGCAGGAGCAGGAGAGCGGGAAAGAGAGAGAGAGCCTGATATTGCTCTGAATTAAAGTGACTTCCGTTCCACTAGCCGTGGGATTGATCCATAATCGATATCCGCGTACGCGTCCGCGTCCTCTTCTATGATTGTGATTGTGACTACGTTGTGACTACTGGTGTTGTGAACGTAACGCGAACTGCAATAAAATATTAATAAATATATAGAAACCCAAATAAAAATCTAAGCGAATAGACCCCGATTCTTAGACATGTTGATAGAGCCGACTTTGAACCGTGACCTTGGCTCGCTTACTGTTGCAAATTCTGGCTTCTCGGCCGCGCACTGGAAAATGGAGCCCCATCCCCAACGAATGACATCGCTGGCCCCGCATGCCTCCAGTGGTAAGTAGTAAATAAATAGCCGCCCCGACGGCTAATGCCCCACTTGTGTGTATCTCCTGTCCGAATTTGGTGCGTAATTAGTCTTCACATGGATCATTGATTCGCTCTCTCCTGTGGTCTTTGTTCGATCAAAATAACTCGTTTTGTTTCGTTTCATTTGATTTGCGGCACAATTGATGGCCAACATATAGCTTAAAAATATTTACTCGGACAACACAACGCGCCGAGTGAAAAGCGCCTTTAAACGCTAATTGACAATTATGGGGAGGGGGTGGACCAGGGCGGAGTGCTGCTCAAGCCGAAAGATACGTACGTTCATAGTATTGTGACTGATAGTCAATATTTATATAGTATTCTGTCGAATTAGCGTAATTCACAGACTTTCAGGCAGCTGAGCACATACCAAAATTTTTAATTTCCCCCTTTGTTTTGGCCGCAAATTGTACGCGCGAGGCACATTTCAATTAAATTGATAAATCCGCCCGCCCTGCCAAGCAGATTGCGATTGCGATTGCGATTGCGTGGGATGTCGACTCCATTTTGGCATTAGTTTCGATGGAGAATCGCCATTGGAACTGGCACTGCCACACTGCCATCCGTCAGTCACCATCATTGGCTTCAGTTTCGGTCCCAGTTCAGATCAGTCAACACAATTAACGGCTAATTTATCATAATTAACCATTGTGGTTGGGAGACAGCAGCAGCAGCAACAGCAGCAGCACAGCGGCTACAACAGCCAGCCCCGGAATAATGATGACAATGGCCAATTATCATTCGATTCCATTCGTTCAATTGCAGTAGCGGCAGCAGCAGCAGCAGCGGCGGCGGCGGCGGCGTCAGCAGCAGCAGCGACAACCACGTCGCCTCCATCTGTGCAAATACCGCCGGGCTTTGGCGCTGGTGGGGGCACAGCCGGCAGCAGTGGCGGTCCAACGGCTGGGCCGGGTAGCACGCTTGGCACATTGATGTCGCAACACCGCCTCCTGGAGTTCTCCCGCTTTGGTGGCCTGCGTGGCTACGACATTGCCCAGCACATGCTGACGCAGCAGGGAGCAGTCTCCAAGTTATTGGGTAAGTACACACTACTCAGATACTGGGATACTGGGACCCTCTGACACTGCGAGACCCTTTCAATCGGATAACTAATAGGCACTTTGTTTTCGATTTGTTTGCTAATTTTGATGATAAACATGTTATTATCCTTGTCCAAAAGTCGTCCCTATCAGCCCTACCATTCCGAGTCGAGTGGAGTGGAGTCCCCTTTCCGTACCTTGTGTGTGTGTGTGTGTGTGTTAATTTAGCCACTTAAAATTGCATAAACTCGCTGGCTGGTGGTGGCTAAAGACCGCAGGCTCATTAATCAAAATGCGGCGTATTTCTGGTTTTGGGTACGGGCTCTGTTCGGCTCGGCTCGGCTTTCGGGGTAGCTGCGTGCTGCGGCAGAGTGGCAGAACATAGCAATACTTCTCACCCCTCACTTGCTCTGCAATTGTTGTTAATGTCGATGGCGATGGCGATGGTTGATAAAGCTATTAAGGCCGAGGGATAAGCCAGCCAAGGGGCCAGGGGCCAGCCAGCCAGCCAGGCATCATTCAGGACACATAAGTCATCAGATCCGCGCTTGCAATCCATAAATCCATTTGTCTCATGGTTTTCGCTCTTCCAGGCTCCCTGCGACCGCCGGGCCTAATTGGTGGCTCAAAGCCGAAGGTAGCCACGCCAACGGTCGTCTCCAAAATCGAGCAGTACAAGCGGGAGAACCCCACGATCTTCGCCTGGGAGATACGCGAGCGACTGATCTCCGAAGGTAAGATAATTGGCGGCAAAGTTCCCCTCCCCTACCGACCCACACGATAATCCAAGCTCCGATTGGAGCTGCTCTGATTGATCACTGATTGATCGGCGGCAGCGGCGGCGGCGGCCGTCTTTGAGTCGCTCCCCGCCACACAATCTCGATCTCGATTTCGACTTACCGCTAATTGTGCCCTCCCGCCATGCAGGTGTCTGCACGAATGCCACCGCCCCGTCGGTGAGCAGCATCAATCGCATCCTGCGCAACCGGGCCGCCGAGCGGGTGGCCACCGAGTTTGCTCGCACCGCCGCCTATGGCCTGTACCCGCCCCATCCGCATCCATACGGCAGCTTCACCTGGCATCCGGCCGGCAATATTGGAGGCGGCCAATCGGTGCCTGGTCCGCCGCCGCCCTCGTCCCTCTGGTCTGTGGCGGCTCCCACGTTGGCCAATCTGCCGCCCAGCGCCGGCAGCTCGGTCTCTGCCCCGAACTGTGGATCCCTGAGCTCGGCTCACCTCATGGCCAGTGCTGCGCCCCCGAACAGAGCCATTTCGCCGGGCTCTGGCAGCCACGATACGCTGGAGTCCGCGGACGAGAATCGCCACATCGACTCTGACTATTTGGACGACGACGACGAGCCCAAGTTCCGGCGCAATCGGACGACCTTCAGCCCCGAGCAGCTGGAGGAGCTGGAGAAGGAGTTCGACAAGAGCCACTACCCGTGCGTGAGCACCCGCGAGAGGCTGTCGAGTCGCACGAGTCTGAGCGAGGCGCGAGTCCAGGTGAGTGGAGGGATTGCCCATGACGGGGTTACAGCGTCTTGACTTTTGTGTCGTCTCCTCCATCGATAGGTTTGGTTCTCGAACCGCCGGGCCAAGTGGCGTCGCCATCAGCGCATGAATCTGCTCAAGCGGCAGCGATCCAGTCCCGCGAATCCGCTGCACTCGCAGCAATCGAACGACGCACCGGCCAGCTCTCCTACGCCCAGCAATCACAGCAGCGCCTCAGCCTCGGCGGCTTCTGTGGGTGGTGGAGGAGGAGGAGGAGCCCCTGCTCCGCCCCAGCAGTCGCTTTCCATCTGCTCAGAGCACTCGCCGCAGGCACCGCCCCCATCCGGGATACTGCACCCACTGCACGGGCCGCCCGGAGGCCATCATCACCACCATCCACTGCACCTGCCAACACATCCTGCGGCTCTGCAGCTCCTCAGCCACTACCATCAGCAGCAGCAGCAACAGCAACAGCAGCAGCAGCTCAGCTTTCTCCCACGGGAGTTGGGGGCTGCGGATCGGCCGCCAGCCACCTGTCGATGGGGGGAGAGCGCAGCGCCTTCCGGAGTCTGGTGAGCTCCCCGTCCGCGGCAGCCTTTCTGGGCCTGGCCCGCCAGTATGCGGTGGCCGCATCGCTGACGGTGGCCGAGGAGCAGCGCTCGCGGATGCACTATTCCTCCTCCTCCGGTATGGGATCTGGTCCGGAGGGCGGCGGCCCTGGCAGTGGGAGTGGCACAGCCGGCTCAACCATGACCGTGGACAACTCGTCGTCCGACTCGGATGAAGAGATCAACGTGCACGACGATTCCGATGCTGAAATCGAGTCGCCGGCGGCAAAGGTGGCCCGCCTGTCATCCTCCGATGGGTCGGCGACGCTGCAGTTCCTAAAGCATGACCGCTAGCGGGACATGCGGACAGCGGCAAGCCGTGATCTGTGATCTGTGATCCGGCGGCAGAGTCTAATTGAAAACCTGAGTTGTGTGCGCGTTTGTGATTGACAGCGACGTAGGCTGAACTACGTGGAATGGTCGAAGGGTGGAATGGTGGAATGATGGAATGGGATGGTGGGTACGGTACCCAGGGCGGTCGCAGGCGGATCCGTGCGTGTCGCGGACAGAAACATGAGACGCGAGACTACATTGTAGACGAAACAAATCGAAAACCAAAGTTAAAATGCTGCTCACCTAGTTGGCTGCGGTTCGGGGTTCTGCCACGGACACTAGCAACAGCAACAGCAGCAGCAGCAAGAGAGAGAGCAACAATAGTAGGGCGGCATTTGTGTGTGGACACGCTTTAGATTAACTGAAATTGTAACTAATACTTACTACTACGAGTATGTGCACGCTTGTCCCATTTAATGCACATTTCCATCTGCATAATAGATAGGTACGAATGCGAATGCGAATGCCAATGTGAATTCAAGTACATACTCGCATGGGTATAATTATTACGAATGCGAATGCGAGTACGAATGCGAGTACGAGTATATATATTATTCATCGCTGGCCGCTGGCTGCCGACTTACCTCATCACCATTTAAGGCTATAGAGTATGCAATATCTACCATAATATGTAACTGTAGCTGTAACTCTAACTGTAACTTAGTCCTAACTTAGGCTTAGGGCTCCAAACTTCAACAACACAATGCATGCCCTGCCCACTACACCCACACCCACCCATCCGGAGCACACTATTTATGAGTAAGAGTACGAGTACTTCGTTTGCGTTTGCGTTTGAACTGATATCTGTATTGTATGATAAGTGTGGCCGTGGCGGCCGTTCATGTTATGAGAAAAGTGTCTCCCCAAAAAGAGGGAGCATCAAAATAAAACCGTGCAAGAAATATAACAACTTTCGTTTTTACTGGGCAGATATAATTTATATATTTTTGTTAAGCAGGAAAACAAAATATATGAATATGGATGTGATGTGATGTGATGGGATGGAATTTTGTACCAAGGAGATCTGGATAGTCGACAGGGAACGAACTGAAATCGGTAACCCAATAGGTCGGGTCGGTCACCAATGGGTTGGTTGCCTGCCCAATGCGGTCGTTGGTTTGACAACACTAGAATTTATTCGTCCGATTTCACGCATAATAATCAATTCCATCAACAAACACACACACACAGAGACACAAGTCCAGTGACGGGGACACAACCGACAAAAACAAAAACAAAAAACTCTGGCAACGAGCGAGCATAAATAAGCATTTAACACTCAAAAGGCTTCTTAAAAACGTTATTAAATATTAATATAATCAATATTCATTGTGTGACCAACTGTCCCACAAGAGAGGAGGGATGCGGTATGTTGGCATGGTGGTATGGGGGAAACGAAATCGAAATCGAAATCAGAATCAAAATACGCGCATAGAAATCGCTTAAATTTCAAACGTAATGGCCAATATGTCCAAATCTGGTAGATAACATCGACATTTTAATTATAACCAAATGAAGCCGCACCTCACCGTGTGCGCACACTCCGTGTGGACATGCATACATACATTCGAGTAGAAGAGACCGAGGCAGAGAGATGCGGAGATTGGGTATGGAATGGGATGGGATGGGATGGAGTGAGGGGTATGCTATGGCATGGCGTGGCATGGTATGGCATGGAATGGGATTGGATGGTTTCGACTGACCGATTAAAAATGCCGAGTCAACTAAGCACATAAATCAATGTAAATTATGGTGTTAACAAAAGGCGAGCTGAGCGCGCTCAAATCGCAGGCACCAGAGAGACTTGATCGTTGACTTTTTTTTTGTATAGGAGAGAGACTGTCGGTGTGAGGGAACAGCGGACTGCGGACTGTGCCTGGCCGCGATTTAAATGAGCTGAGCGCGTATGTTGTGCATTCGCATCTGATAAGAGACTGAAAGAGAGAGAGAGAGAGAGAGAGGCGAGCGAGCGCTGCACGTTCGTTCGTGTCGATATACTTACAAGCCTGATCGGGATTGCGATCGGAGAGCGGATTCTGGATCGGGATTGGGATTGGGATCGGGATCGGGTGACGGTCATCAGCGCATTACCACGCGCGAGCAGCACACAAATTCAATTTGCTTGAGTTTTTATGAGCAAATGGTCCGTCCATCCTCCCTCTCTCTCTCTCTCTCTCTGGCCCTTTGCCCAGTCATGACTTATTCTAATTTAGTGGCGGAGCTGCTCGTGAGCATTCCTTTAATAAATTTAAATCACCTTCTATTGAAAATATATTTTCACCTCGCGCCCATAAATTATACATTATACGATATTTATACAGTCTGCGGCACACGGCTCTGGGTCAGGCCTTTCGACTCGAAATCCAGACTCCAGAGGAGATATTCGGGCTCTTGGCTTTGGTTTCACGCTCTCTGAGATTCACAATTGGAAACATATTCAGTGGTTTCATTTAGAATACAAAGATGTGATATGCATGCTGGTGTTGTTGCTGTTGTTGGATCCCATGGAATGATGCAGGCCCCCAGGGTACGTCCATCGTCCATCTGCTTGATGGAGCAGGGCAGAGTGGCGCTCTCATGAGCGCCATATAATCACAGTCAAACACTTTTACGATCCACCCATCATGCAGTGCTGATCAGTTGGCCACTTGATGACTCCGCAGGACTGGCTCGGACGCTCTCTCAGAGATTGTTTCGGCAACATTGTTGGCAAATGTTTGTGGCTTTGCGCAGTTTTTATTGTTTGGGTTGGCGGAAATCGATGAACTTTACGAACGGCCAACGACGGCGTCGGTATCCCATATCCCATACCCCAACTCCAAGCTGCCTTCCTCTGGCCAGCCAGCGCCACCAGCAAGGGGCCGGTGATAAATCTGTTGGCAAACCCGACACAACATTTCCATTGCATCCTTCTAAATGGACCATAAACGTGCGAAGTCGCAACACTAGCAATAACTAAAGTTAGTTACGTTTACTAATATGACAACAATGTTGTCAGCATCCCTCTCTCCCTATCCCTATCCATATCCATATCCCCCTATCCCCTTAACACCTTAACCCTGCTTGCCCTACCAGCCGGCTATGCAAGTAACCAACTTTCGAGTCATTTGTATAGAAAAATCCCATCTAGGGTCACTGATCGTACCTACAATTTCCTTAATTAAATAGAAAAGGTGCAGATAATATTTCCTGCATATTTTCATGTCCAGTAAATGCTTGATTAAAGGATATATACAACCTGTTAGGATAACACAAAGATCAGTGAGTGTCCTCATATATATACATACATATGTAAATATGTACATATATACATTTATATATGTTAGGGCGGTAATAAATTTCACATTTTATTAAACTTATTGAAATGTTTTTATTTTTTATATGAATTTCGAATGTTATACGATGTCAGTCGCAGCAACGTGTGAGTGTCGGTGTCAGCAGCCAAATCAGTGATTTATGCCCAAACTGAAATGTCGACAATGGCGATTCGGATGACCCCGGAGCCTACTGTCCACAGTCCACAGCACTGAAGGCACCGCCAGAACGTCGACAGGGCACGGCTGGGGCTGAGGCTGAAGCTGAGGCAGAGCCCGAGCCCCTGTTAATGAGCGGAGCGATTAAGAGATGTGCATTTGTGCTTGTCCGCTCCGCTCCTTAAATGAGCTCGAGCTTTTAGCGCGCAGCTCTAGGCGGACGGAGACGGGTCCCAGTCCCAGACTGTGGTTCGGGACTGTGGATGGCGGGGGGAAACGAAGTGATTTTGTCTCGTTGTCATCTCATTTGGAATTGGGCGATAAGACAAATTTGTTTTCTTTGTTTATAAGTTTATGCAGATACAGGTTTCGGTTTCTGATCCCCTCCCCGGTCGGGCATATTCGAACTGTCGGACTGTCGGAGCCATGCATCTGGGTACAGGGCATGCGTGGACGCCTGCAGCCTACGGAACGATTCGGGGGGAATAGAGTTATATTTAATCTTTGTCGCCTCGCAGCTCGGGACTCAGTCCGAGCCAGAGCAGACAGAGCCAGAGCCAGAGCCGGAGACAGAGCCGAGCTAGCCCGTTCGCGCAGCACAACAAAGTGGAATTCTGGCCTTTTGATTTGAATTTTGAATTCGAATGTCTTTGTATTTTATTTGTTGGAGTGCGGCAGCAGCTGCCGCTGCCGCTGGTTGACATCTCTCTTAACGAGGAGTGTGATCAAAAGAGTAATGAGGTGTTGATAGTGTGCCCGAAAGCGAAAGACGCTTTATGCATTCCCCCCGGTGGATTAATTAGGAACAATGCCAGCCAGCCACAGCCACAGCATCCACAGCAGCCACAGAAGTTCCCTGGCCCTGTTCTAGTATGTCCCAACGATAATTGAGGGTCTGCCATGTCTCAAATGAATGTGGCCGGGGCTGGGGCTGGGGCTGGGCGTAGTTAAACGGCGACATCGATGGATACCCCCAAAACCTTTGAAGTCTTCCCAATCTTTCTTTTAACTTTTATTGTCTCTGGCATCTGAATCTGATTCCAGACTCTGATTCCTGACTCTGAATCCCCGCCTCTGATTCTGATTCTGATTTTGATTCTTTCTCCAACTCTGAGCATTGTTCTGTCTGGGCAATTTGCATATGATAAATCTGCTTTCATATTTTGTTAAATTGCTGCTCGTATCGCGTTTTTGTTGTTGTTGTTGTTGTTGTTCTTATTGGCTGGGCCGAAGCACTGGCGCGTGGTAAATTGGTTGTATTGTAAAACATCTAATTAGTGGCCGGCTACCGAATTATGACCAATTATGATTATTGATTGATTGCGAGCCATAAAGAGTGGCTCACAAACTCCCGTTGCCACTGTCACTGTTGGCTGCGATGCTGATTCTGATTCTGGAACTGAAACTGTTTCTTATTTCGTGTTATTGTTGAGAACTTTACTGAGCTTCTGATTTTCTCTATACAAAAGATTTAGAAGACTTAGAAGACTGCAGGTCTTGGTAGTACCCCCCCACTGCATTAAATCTTGGAATTAAATAATTTAGAAATTGTTTAAAATTGCATTCTAGCTACCTTTTCTTTGCCAATCAATTATAATAAAATGTGCACATGATTGCAGCTCATTTTCTTGTTACTTTATTACCAATAATATATAGAACAACTTTATAAATTAGTGAGAGAGACATATGTACGTTTATATTGCCTTCCAGTTGGA